ACTTTTTTGTACTTGACTCTTTGGGTGACTTTTATATAGTAATCCTATACAGTATGTGTCCTGTATTAAATTGTTTCCCCTGCAAACCCTGACTACAACATCCTCAGACAGAGAACTAATATGCAGAATATATAAAGAACTCAAAAAGAATTAGACTCACCAAAATAAAAGACCCAATCAAAAACTGGGCAAGCAAAATGAACAGACACTTCTCAGAAGAAGTACAAATGGCCAATAAACATCTGAAAAAATGTTCAACATCCCTGGCCATTAGAGAAATGCAAATCAAAACAATACTGAGATTCCCTCTTACTCCTAGAAAGAATGGGTAACATCAAAAATCAAGTAATAACAAATGCTGGTGAGGCTACAGGGGCAAAAGGAATATTACATTTTTGGTGGAAATGTAAATTAGTATAACCCCTACAAAAGTAAGTATGGAGATTCCTGAAAAAACTAACATAGAAATTCCATTTGACCAGCTATTTCCCTTCTTGGTATCTTCTCAAAAGAATTAAAGTCATCATATTACAGTGATACATGCATATCCATGTTTATAGCAACAGAATTCATAATAGTTAAATCTTGGGAACAGCCTATATGTCCATCAAAAGGTGAATAAAAAAAATATGCTATTTATACACAATGGAGTACTACTCTGTCATAAAGAAGAAACTCTGAGGTATGTGTAGGTAAATAGATTTACTCTGAGACCATAATGTTAAGCAAAATATAATTTATTGACACACAAGCTTAAATATCACATGGTTTCTCTTACATGAGAAACCCAAAACAAAGTGCAAAATAAAAGATAATAAGTAGAGAGATCTTTTTCAAAAGGGAAAGGAAATAAGAGGAGGAAAGGAAGAAGAAAGAGGAAAGGGAGGGAAAGGTTTGAAAAAAGAGAACTGAATAAAGAGAAACAGAGCTCATGCACATGGAAAGGGGACCAGGAGTTGGAACGAGTAGGGCGGGATGGGAGGGGTACAGAACCAAAACATACTGAAGATGTATTATGTACATGCACCAACTTTCAAAATAAATGTAATCATGTACTACAAATAGGTACTAATAAAAATAATAATAATGAAGTTTCCATATACATTCAAGAAGCTAGTACATTCCAAAATAAGGGAAAAATTATGAAAAAAGAAAATTCAAGAATCAAAAAGATCTCGTGAAAATTAAAAAATGACTTTAGAAAAAAACAGTATCAAGTACAAAATAAAATGAATACATTTTCAAGAAAGTAAATCAAAAAGGAAGATTTAAAATGAGAAAATAAAGCAACTTTCATAGATCTATCAAGAATGTCAGGAAACTTACATGAATTTCAAAGAGAGAGAAAAAAATAAATTAAAAAAGAAAAATATGAAAGCTAAAAGTCTACAGATTGGAAGGTCCATCTAGTGTTTAGCATAAGGAATAAAAAAAGATCCAAAGTAACATACTATAAATTTTGAAAAACTGTAAGAGAGAAAAAGAGCCCAATAGCTTCGAGAGAAAAATAATCATTCAAAAGGATAGGAAATGACAATTTTCTTTCTCTTTTCTTTTATTACTATATATTTACAATATATAATGTTTAGGTTGTTTTAAGAGTAGCACTAAACCTTGAAAAAAAGAAGCAATGCCTTCAATATTTTTGGAGAAAAATGTTTCAACTTAGGTTTATATTTGTCTTATCAGTCACACAAACATTTTCAGAATATAAGGATCCAGAGACAATGTCCCATGTACCATTTTCTGTGGAAGTTCTTAAAAATTTACCACAGCACAACAAGGAACACTCAATGCAAGACCAGGCCGTGGGACCCAAGGACAGCAATACAAATAGCCCAACTTTAAACCAGAGGATACAAGTTTCTGGGAGCGAAAATATGCAGAAAAGGGAGAATTCATTACAAGACATTTCCTTTTTTTTGGTTTTGGTTTTTTTCCGGTACCGGGAATCGAACTCACGACCTTGCGCTTGCCAGGCAGGCGCTGTGCCGCTAAGCTAAATCCCTAGCCCCCAAGACATATTTCTTGAAGTATTCTTAAAAGCAAAAAAGCACTTCATCACACTGAAGAAGTACAAGGCAAAAAAAAAACCAAAAAATTAAAAGGAAGAAGAGATATCTCCAAGTTGAATGACTTTCCAAAGATGTCCAAATCCTAATCCTGGGAGCTCTTGAATATTACTCTGAAGATGCATATGTAATTAAATTAGGCATCTTGAGATGAAAAGAGTATCTCGTGTTATCTGTGGACCCAATATAGTCACGAAAACCCTTGGAGATCATGTGACCACAGATGAGACAAACACTGGAAGATCACATTTATTACTAGCTTTGAAGACAACGTAAGGCTGAAACTTGAAATACCAAAGAATGAATTCTCTAAAGCAGTAGGGAGGAATGTAACTTGTCTATAATTTAGAACTTCTGGTCTCCAAAACAGTAAGAAGATAAATTTGTATTACTGAAGCTACTACATTTGGGGCAATTTATTATAGCAGGCATAGAAAACTAATGAGAAGGAGAGACAGACAGAGGCAGAGAGAAAGAGAGACAGACAGAGACACTGACACTGGGACCATGTTAGAGCAAAGAGGAAAAACACAGTCAGCCCCAAGGACACAGACATGTAATACAAGCACTCTGGATGTTTCAGCCCAGACACCAGATGAGTGAAGCTACATGCATTAGTTGCTATAACAAAATACTCAAGGCTGATAATTTATAAAAGTTTATTTGGCTCTTGATTCTGGTGACTAAATTTAGGACCCAAAAAGCATAAAACCAGCATCCAGGCAAGAGCTCCTCTAGCTGTAATTACAACATGGTGAAGATGTAGAAGGGAAAACAGCCATGTGCAGAGGCACCAAGCACATGAGGTGGCCTCGTACATTCTAAGAATCTATTTGCAAAAGAACAGATTCAAGACTAAACTCAGTCCAGACCAGTACCAATCCATTCTTGAGGATGGATGACACAATTCTTTCCTTAGACCCTACCTCTTAAGGGTCCACCACTTCAACACTACCACAATGCAGAACAGGTTTCCAGCACTTGAGTACCAGAAAGACCAACTATATCCAGCCACAGGACTGCTTGAGTGACCCCATCTGATAGAACATGGAGCAGATGAATTGTCCAATTAATCCAAACTATGTAATAATATCTGAACTGCATTTGTCACCAAGAAAGAATATAGGCACCAGATTTACCCATCACTTTACAATAACTTAAAAAAAAATAAAGAAACTAGATAACTTCTGTGAACCAATGACTCACATACCCTGGACATGAAGGAACTCAGGATAATGATCCCTGAAAGAAGAGGTAAGTCCTGTAATTGTCCCTGTTTACTGTCTGGAGTTTCCAGACTATGACACAGGATGGGGTAAGGAAGACCCCAGAATAAACCTGAGTATAGATTACAGATAAAAAATACGACTGATGGGAGATAGCGCTCTAAGTTCGTATCTGGAAATGTGCCCACCCCACATGTTCCATTTCAAATGTAACATATTCAGTACTTACCCAGCCTTAGGAAACTTAAAAAGACCTATTCAGGTACCAGTTCTACCTGTACCTATATCTTTATCCTGATTTCTAGCATACAACTATGGATTTAAAATAAAGGTGAAAGCCTGGGGGGGGAAATGACATGGTTTGCAAAAATAAGATTTTATACTAGACTGTATTATTATATGTGACCAGTAGTTAATCTGGCCCTGTGGTTCAAATTAGTAATAAAGTACAAATGTGGTAGAATACCATAGCAGATGAGAGCTCCTGAAGAGCTGTCACAGGCTACCACCTACAGGACACAAATGGGAAAACAGCCTTACCTTTGCTCTGTCTGACCATCCGAAGGACTGCACTGTCACATCTAATCGTTTCATTAACATCCGCCGGCGACATTCATATTCGCAGGAAAGGGCATCGTTGATTCTTTCCAGTTGTTCCTAAAGAATGTGAGAACAAATACCATAACCTTTAGACCCATTCTGCATACACAAGAAATGTGAAACCTGTAGTAAGTACCATCTTCTGCTGACTCAAGAGACAGTGTGCAGTACCTGGTGAACATTTTCTGATTCAGTGAGACTTTATCTGGTAAAACAAATAATACAGTATTCACTAGAACGTTTATAATACTCAGAAGATATCAAATATGTTCATCTGATCTTCAATTTAACATATTAAGTAAAACATCCATTTGCTAAGTAGTATGGACCAAAAAGGAAACAAAATACCAATAATCTCACATCTTGTCAACTTTTAAGATACTATCTTTTCAAATCACAACTGTGCTAACATATTGGGCACTGCAAGTACTTTGGGCCAGGTACATTTTTAATTAATAATTTGAATATCAGAACATTTTATTCCAGAATTTCAATATACGTTAATTCTCTAAAATAATACAGTACATGATTGTAAAATCTAGATGTCCATTTATAAAGTGACTACTATGATTTGAATACTGCTTGTTCCCGCAAAGGCTTCTGCAGTAGAGGCTTGATCTTCAGTGTGGTGGTAGGAACTTTAAGAGGTAAGAGAGAGGGGAAACTCAAAGAAGTGGGGTTCTAGAAGGGTGTTAGGTCAATTGGGAATGTGCTCCTCTGGTGACACAACTCCCCACAGTCCTATAACTGTCACCCCTCATCAGGTTACACAGCCAAGGGGTGGTTCCTACAAAAGCCTGCACTATGTTGTTCGGACTTTCAGCCTCAAACTGTGAGCAAAATAAAGTTCTTTACAAAATTAGCCTGTCTTGGATAGTCTGTAATAGTAACAAAAATGGGCTAATATAGTCATATGCACTAATTTAATCATATAAAACTAGTAAGAAAGGAAGAATTACCGCCTGTTCCGGACTTAAATCAACTTTCAACAATGGTTTTCCCACATGATTTCTCTGGACTTTAGAGAGAATATCCTTCACCTAAAAGAAAAGATTGTGAAAATGTATATAGTACCTAATTTAAAAGGAGCTTACTCTTGTCTAAAGTGCTGTTTTGAACATTAGAAAGTAAATAAAATGTTAAAATGAAATGCTTAAATATACTTTCACACACAAGGAAGGAGTATAATTACAATATCAAATATCTTTCTCTAAAAAGTATCAGGCATATTAAAACTATAAAGCACCTTTTTCCCAAGAATAATAAATAATGTATAGAGACCAAATATCTAATAATTGGCTCTACGCTGAGAATCTGTGTCTTACCTAAAATAATTTTGGAGTTTCTTAAGATGGCATTATCTGACTTCCTGGAAAATTCTCAAAAAGAAAACTAAAATATTTTAAAAGCACATTGATTTTTCTCAAATATTTTGTACACATTCCAATTATATTTATTCCAATTTCACTGTTCAAGACCAACAGAAGACAACAATCCTTCTGAATTATAGTAACACACACAATTTTTTTTTCTTTTATAGAGCCACTAAATTACTTGAAACACTTTTATTTTGGTAAACAAGATATTAGGCATTTATTTTTGTTTTAGCAATATCAAAGGTCATTCCAATATTAGTGATACTTTGAATAAAATGCTTACAAAATGACAGCCCAAAATGGTCATCTTCAAAACGACAAAAGCCTTCATAACTAAAGAAAGCACTGCAAAATTGAATGAAACAGTTTCTTAGTTATAAGGAGTCCAGAACCAGTTCAGATCTTAAACAGCATGAAGCTTATTTAATGTTGCGGGTACTCACTGAGGAAAAAGATTTCAAAGTCACCTAGGAAGCTGAGATGATAACAGGGGTGACCGTAAATTGACAAGTTTCTTTTCATGGTCATGGAATTAGATTTTAGTGATGGCTGTACAACCCAGTAAATATACTAAAATTCATGGCATTGCACAATTAAGATGTGTAAATTTTATGGCAAGTAAATTATATCTTCAAAGGTAATTTTTACATTAGCTTAGAAAGAACCTGTCTAAATGAGAGCACCAAGTTTAGCTTTTTTAATTTCACAGCAAATCTACTTTACAACAATGCTACAATTAATGATATGATTTCTACATATTTTATGGGAGACACAAATCTACCTGTATAGTAATGATATAATTACTAGTGATTTCTACAAGTTTTATATAATTAATTTACTATCTTAAAATGTCATTTCTGTAAGTACCCTATTTCTTTTTTTTTTTTTTTTTTTTTGAGACAGAGTCTCACTCTGTAGTTCAGGCTGGCCTCGAACTCATGGCAATTCTCCTGCCTCAGCCTCCCAAGTGCTGAGATTACAGCCGTGAACCACCAAGCCCTGCAAGTACCCCAACTGGTGAAAAATCACCAAAAAATTGTAAAATCACATGATTTTATTTCATATATTACTAAAAGTTTTGAGTTGTAACTCCTCACTTAAGAGATTCTGAATGTATACTTATAGTTTTTTATATGCAGCCACACTCATTTCTAGGACTTCAACATTAGGTAACAGTTTAATAAATTTGAGAATTACCTGTTAAGGGTAAGTTAAGAATACATGCTCTGAAAGCTGATCACCCACAGTCAAACCTCAGGTCTACCAATAGTTAGAAATCTGCTTAAATTATTAAAACTTTTAGTTTAATCCACGTGGTGATGCTTTTAGGTACAGGCAGAATGTAACAGTTGTGGGATCAGGAAAGCTTCCACCCAGATTTCAGAAGGCCTGGGAAGCCAGGAAGTCCCTGAGAGGGCAGTGTATGAAGCTGAGTCTGAAGCCAAAACATGCACTGGAGGCCCTAGAAGTTTGGAGAAACCAGGAACGTGGATCATCTGACAAAAATTATAAGGAAGAAGCAGAGGAGGTCCAAGAGAGAAGCCACAGGAGCTACAACCACAGGAAATGCCGTCGGGGCACAGCCAGCTGAGCCCTTTGGAATTCACATCTTGCTACAGGTTGCCTCAGATGCTGCACATAGAACCACAGGACTTAATGCTTGGCCTGCTGGATTTTGGGCTTGCTTTCGTTTCATTCCTTTGTATCCCCATTTGTAACCTTTGGAATGGAAACGTCTATCTTGTCCCACTGAATGTTGGAAGTGTTTAACTTTCTTTTCATTTGTACAGGTGCTCACTGCTAAGAGTTTGCCTTAAATATCAGAGGAGACTTGAGACTTGGATTTTTCAGCCATGCTGAAACTATCAGGACTCTGGCAATTCTTGGAGATGGACTACATCTTTTGCATGAAGGAATATGTGTGTCTTTGGGGGGCCAATGGGCAGAACGTTAAGGTTTGTGTCCAGATGCTCCACGAAAACCTCATGCCATCATAGTGATTTCTGTGGAGGTGGCTGAATCTAGACTGAGTGATTCATGGTACAATGCTGGGATTAAGGGTGCTCAGGTTAAGGGTGGGTGATTGCTGGATCAGTCCACTGACTGAATCAGTACCGCCCTTATCCTGCTAGACTGGATTTAATATAAGGGATAGAAAGAGGTTTCCCCCTTCCTTGCTTGCTTTTGATGTCTTGAGCTTGCTATGAACTGGTTCTCTTCTGCGTTGCCCCTCTGCCAAGCCATCTGACTTTGGAGCCAGCAAATTATAGACTGAAACCTCTGGAAACTGTGAGCTAAATAAACCTTTCCCCTTTAACTTTGGGTGTTGGGTATTTTGTTTCAACAACTACAGAAAAGTAACTCAAACAGGGTATTTCCATTTTTAATATGGAATCTGTGTATTAGCTGAATCTGGGGGAAAATAAAACAAGTACAATACCTTTGATTCCACTTGGTTTAGCATAACCGGAATGTCAGGAGTGGTAGACTTGGGTATGCCAAGGGCATCATACATAGCTTGAACTTCCTGATAAATTTCACTGTTTTTATCTAATTGAGAATTTTTACATTTCTTTTTCTGTAATATCTGTAAAGCTTGAAGTTCTGTACTTAAAAATACTATAATAAAAAAGATAAAATGAATGTTAACACATGTGCAAAAATTTAGAGTATTTTGCTACAATAATTTACTTAAAACAAATATTAACAATGTCAACAGCATGACCAACTTACAAAGAAACCAGAGTAATTATCAACAGTTGTAAAACAGTAAACTTCAAAAAAGCACATTGAAATTAAAATAAAATGTATTTAATGTAATCAGGCAAAGGAGGAATTAATGACTTATTCTCACCGATTTCACATTAGCTGGTTTCAGTTCCACTTTAATATTTTCAATGACCTAGATTTCCATTTTAATAGGTACACATATTTACAAAGGCCTTATTCTGAGTTATGCACAGTGTAGATAATGGCGATACAACATCAAATAAGTATCTGCCCTCAAAGAATTTAAAACCAGTTTTTTGTTTGTTTTTACTCAGCTAAAATTACATACAAACACAACAGTCACAATTTAATATAGCAGTTTCAATTTCAGGTGAGATATATCTGAGAAACTGTTTAAAAGTACAAATGCCAGGATTCTGTCCTCAGCGATTCTAAACCAGTAGGTCTGAGGTAAAAGATGGACAACTGTGTGGTTTAGATTGCCAGTCATTTTGCTACTGTAAGTAAGGTTATAATAAATACCCTTTTTTATGAATCTTTGTATACTTAAAGGAGTAAGTATGTATTCCTAGACACAGAATTGCCAGGTCAAAAGACAGATGAATTTTAATTACGATTTTGAAGAGCTGTACTCTGAAGAGGCTACACCAGTCATTCTACCACCATCTACAATGCCTACAGCACATGAAAGTTTATTTTCCTACAGACTTGTATTATAATTTGGGGTGGGACTCTCTGTTAACTTGGTAAGAGAACTAGTGTCCTGTCATTGCTTTTTAAACTCTTTAGTTTTGAGGTACACTATGCATCTTTTCATTTTTGTAATTCAAAAATTATTTTTCTGTAGAATGCATGTTCATATCTTATGTACTTTACACATTTTTCCAGAGAATTTCAAGTCTTCTGAAGCAAAATGTAGCAATACATATCTAGTCCAGAGATTTTTTTTTTTTTCTCTGTTTTTTTCTGGTACTGGGAATCAAATTCACGACCTTGTGCTTGCCAGGCAGGCGCTGTGCCGCTGAGCTAAATTCCCAGCCCCTCAGAGATTTTTTTTAAATGTTCACAGTCTTTTAAGTAACCAAAAAGTATAAACAAATAAATTATTTTAAAATAGAAGAAAAATTCAAATATTTCTGAAGGCACAAAATTTATCCTTCTTTTTATTTTTTTATTTTTTTATTTTTTTTTGGTTTTTCTCCGGTACCGGGAATCGAACTCATGACCTTGCGCTTGCCAGGCAGGCGCTTTGCCGCTGAGCTAAATCCCCAGCCCTTTTATCCTTCTTTTTAAAAAAAGATGTACTTCCTGGTACAAGATTAGGTAATCAATAAATGTTTTGAACAAACTATCAATCACTGCCTAACAAAAAAGCAAGATCTAATAATCTGATTGGCAGCCTACTTCCCAGTTAGTTTTATGATCACCAAGTTTTAGTTATTTAGTCATTAACACTAAGACATGAATTAGATGAAAACAATTACTATTCTATAAGGTACAAACAAAGGACATTCTATAGTACACATCTGTCAGAGGATATATTCAGAATTTAAACTACATTTAGGCAAATATTTCTGAGACAGCTTTATATTTTAAATTTAACATTAAAACCTCTTAAATATCTAAAATGTCTAATGTTTCAATAATGAATAAATTTAGAGCTGAAGATATATAAAAAAGAAAACAGATCAAACATGTACATTTAAATGTCCAATGAAAAATAACTTACACAGAAGTTTCAAACAGTCATCCTTCTTTTTTAAACGGTCCTTAACATCTCCTGATATGAGAACAGAATATGGACAGGCCATTTCTTTTAAAAAACCACTTATCTCAAGCTGGAAGCTCTCTAAGTCATCTTGCCCTAGAAAAAGAAAAAAAGAAAAATCATAAAACATTTACTGAGTTCCTCCTATTTAATATGATACTATAAAATTTACTACTAGTTGATTTCCATTTTACAATCAATTCTAAATTTTCAGTTGCACATTTAATTCTTGGATGTGTGACCAACAGAGGTAGATAAAGGCAACCAAACAATTTCCACATACAGAAATTATCATTTAAGTAATCATGAGATTGTAAATACTATTATTTACAGATATTTACTATTACATCTCTGCCAAGTCTCTTCTAAAGGATTCTCCATAAGACCAGACAGACTGGAAGTATTTAATATTAGCAACTAAAATATTAAAAGTACTACTAAGCCTATATTTATTAATTGGTTTCAGGGCAAATGACCCATGTCTACTGTTTCCATACATTCTAATTAAGACTAACTGCTTATCTTTACTTCATAATACAATTAGGTAGAAACTTGTTTTATGTTCTGGATTCATATTATTTTACTTTATACTATTAATTTGACAAGGAAAAAATAATTTAAAGAATTAAAAAATAATTTAAAGAATAACTTTGGTGGCGAACCTAGGGCATGTATGCCGTAGGGGGCTAGGGTTTTTTTGGGGGGGTACTGGGAATCAAACTCAGGACCTTGTGCTTGCCAGGCAGGCACGTGTGTCACTGAGCTATATCCCCAGCTCCAAAAGAATAACTTTGGTAGAGAAGGCTACTTTCTCCCCTAGCAATTGGCCAGTGATTAATCATTTTTCATCTTATCATCCAAAGATCCACAAGGACTCTAGCTACCAAGACAGCAATGAATTAAACAAGTTTTATGAGCTAGTACAGAAGTATTTTTATAAAAATATTTCTACATGAACCCGTGTTCTGAATTACAGGCTTGGGAAAATAAATTAGAAATTACATGTATTTAAAAAACAAAACAATCATAATCAAAATGAGCCATATTTAAAATTTAAACTTTCTAAATAATCAAATTCAGACTATTTTTTTTTCTAAAGAACAAAACTAAGGGGCTGGGGATTTAGCTCAGTGGCACAGCACCTGCCTGGCAAGCACAAGGTCGTGAGTTCGATTCCCGGTACCGGAAAAAAAACAAAAAGGAAAAAAAGAACAAAACTAAGGTTAACATAGGCGACAACTGCTTATAATTTTTTAGTAAATTTAAGAATCAATTTGTGATTACAATAAAATCTAATCCAAAGATTTTTAATAACCTACACTGAACTTCTTCATAATATCAGTGATTTTTCTCTGTGTTGAGAAAACTATAAATTATAAGCTATCAGTTCATTTTACTATTAAACAGAAAGTAAATAAAACACAATGGCAAATACCAGCTGAAGTGATACTTTCTTCCAAGTTGCATAATGATTTTATTTGAGAGCCTAACCAAACACAGAGCTCTGAAAATTCAGGCGAAGAAAGTCCACCCTCTGCTGCCTTGGTAAGAGCTTGTTCTTCTAACAGTGGTCCTTTATATCTACAAAGGAGAAAACAAACATTTATAAGAGGGAAAGAGAGAATCCTATAATATTCTCTATTCAGACCTGCTGCTGCTTGTTTTTATAAATTAACTTTTATTAGAACACAGCAAATAAACATATTAATTCATAGATTGTCTGTTGCTGCTTTCATACTGCAGTGCCAGAGCTGGGTCAGTTATAATAGAATAACCAGCAAAGCCTACAGTGCTTTCTTGGCCCTAATAGCCCATCCACAAACAATTTGCTGATTTTTCTATATAATTAGCATTTGGCTTTTCTCCCCATATTTTAATATTTTATAGTGAAACTACCAATTTTAAATATTACAGGTAACACAACATCCAATAAAAGAAAGGCTAACAGGTTTATGAATTCCAAGAACAGTGACAAAAGTACAGATGCAAATTTCAAATTTAAAAAACTTAAAGTTGAAAAGGACCTATGAGATCATTTTAATCTAAGTAATTTATCTCATATACTTTTAAATATTTCTGTAAATTGTATTTGCCAAGAACCTTCACTGTTTAAAGTACCATATATACGGAATCTTAAGTGAGGCATCAATTTTCTACTTTTACTGTTGTCTGTAATGAAGCTTTAACACTGTAAACATAGATTTTAAAACACTTAATGTGCTTTTATTAAGTGCAGTTATTATTTTAATATTTAAACTGTACTAAGCCCACACCTATGAATTTCCCAGTATTCTTCAAATATTTTCCTTGCTTTCTGTAACAAGATGTTCCAGCCCTACACCTGCAGTGAGACTTCTATCCATGAATCTCGCATCTTTTCTAATGGCAATTAGAGTACATAATTTGTTATTAAAGGTTGGCTACTGTTTCAATGTCTTTTCAGTGGGACTGGTGGGGACCAAACCCAGGACCTTGGCCATGCTAAGCATCTGCTCTACCACTGAGCTACACGCCAAGCTGTATTACTCTTTTTAAAGAGAAACTACATCAAGAATTCACATTGCACTTTTCAATTTGTATTTAGAATTATAGGATTTTCACTTGTTTTGCATTTTTCTTTTAAAATGAAAGTTTCTCATATTTGCATAATCCTGTTATATATAAAGTGAATATAAACCTCATAGTTTTAGAATAGCAAATTCAGTATTATCAGCATTGTTACTAACAATAAAAATCACCAAAAATAGCTTACTTTTTTAGAACAATTGAACAATTTGTCCCTATGAATCAAATCCTTCAACTGTGATCAAGTTAAATTTTACTACTTTTAGTGGGGTTTTTTTTTTTTTTTTTGAGAAAATTTTCATTTTGCCTTCCCCAATGAACAAATATTTATTTCAAGTACTATACACTCTCATTATAGCTGTGCTCCAGAGAAGTATGAGTTTTCTATATCATAGATATAATGCATCAGCCAGCTGCAAGATATTTGAAAATTGCTGGTGATTGCTCTGCCCAAACTTTCCTGCCTATTTTACTTAGTTCTACCATTGACTCTGACTCATGGGTTGCATATAACAACAGTCAGCCTCTTTGGATACAAACATGCTCAAGTTACTATAATAATCCCAACTTGTTTCATGTCATTGATTGGTGTATACCCCCCCAAAACATTAAGTCCTACTGGAACAAATGTAAAGCAGAGTATAAGACTATGAAAGGAGTTCACAGTGACATGTTTATGTGGCTAGATATTTACAGGCACAAACAATTTGGAAAAAATGATTTTAATTCCCCTATACCAAAAATGTCAGAAATTGTCCAGGTTTTTGACTTTCTGGTTTTAGAATGTTATCATAAAATATCCAGGGACAAATTCTTCAATTAAATACATCTGAGAGATAAATTGTTCAATTGATCGAATTTGGATCAATGATCCAACATTTTATTAAGAATATACAATGGTACCTCAGTTCATGAACATTTTTGTTTGCAAACAATTTGGTTTGCACACAGAAGCAGTTGGCAAAATTGTGTTTTTGTTTTCAAACTCTCCATTGAGCAACAACACAATTGCAGCTATCTTTCCCACACCAACATGAATGTGGCTTTCTTTTCCAAAATTGCAGAAGAAATTAAGTTTGTGAATTAAGGTACCACTGTATTTCACTAAGGATATACAGAAAAACAATTTATTTCCATGCAGTTAATCCACCTGCTCTATATGCTGGTAGCCACTTGTTTCATTTTGCTTTGATTTGTAGGCATTTTTATTTTACTTTTGTTTTTATTTAATTTTGCTTTATAACTACGTAAATTAAGTAGTTTTAAAGTCTCACTTCTAAAACAAGGTAAATCTACATAAATCTAGTTCACAATTTTCACATATTCCTTCTACTCTGTCCCCCCAGCCATAGATAATCATACTTACTAATTTGGGGTTGTACTATAATGGTATTCAATATAAATATAAGCATACATATTTTTATCCTTTTTAAAATAAAAGACAGCTTATTACATATTGTTCTAATCCTTGCTTTAAACACATACACACATTTGCATATACAAGGATCAACATTTAGAGACACGCCTCAATCATTTTTACAGTTGTATAGTACTCAGCTGTCAGGATTGAAGCAGGATTCAAAAAGACCAAGTCAAGTTTTCCCAAACTTTCCCCTCCCTACAGCTGTTATTGCTTGTCCTAACACAGATTAAAAACAGCAACTTTGTCTCTGTAAATAAAAGTTTTATAACCTGCTTTCATAACATCCTGTTTTTACCCAACCAAAGCCACTGGGCACAGCTTGACAAACTGCCTTTGTTCTGCTTGCTCACCCCCAAGTTACGCACCACCAGACTGCCCCCTTGCAACATGTATGACACTAGAACCTTTCTTTTGTTCAGCACTCAGCCATTCTGGACACAAATATGCTGAGTCAGCTGTACACCTAATAAAATTCTCCTATTTCCCCCACAGTCTCTCCAGTTTCTTGAACTCTATAACAGAATGTAGAATTGTATGTTACTTAATTAGCTTCTAATGAAGGATATTTTTAGTGTTTCCAAAGTTTTAGTATTATAGTTTGGTAAATTTTTATCAATAAATGTCTGGGATAGATTTTTAAAGGTGAGATTATTGGATTAAAGAGTAAATGGTTAGATAATCTTGCTAGATGATACTAACTATTTCTCTATAGAAGTTGTACCATCAAAGTATGACAGTATCCATTCTCTGATACCCAAAGTTGTCAAACTTTCAGATTTTTGACCATCTGGTAGATATCATTTGAATTTACATTTCTCTTATGAGCAATGCTATACATTTTTGCATATACCTAAAAGCCATTTGTTTTTCATTTTTTCAGAGATCAAATACATAGGGCCTCATGGCATGCTAGGCAAGTGTTCTTCCACTGAGCTTATATGCCAGTTCCTTTTATTTTTATTTCTGAGACAGTGTCACACTGTATTGCCCAGGCTGACCTTGAACTTGTGATACTCTTGCCTCAGCTGGGACCATAGGTATTTTTTTCCTGTGAATTCTCTGATCATATCTCATGCATAGTATTTTAAATCCTCATTATGCAAGTAAAGAAATAAAGACTTAACAAGGTTAGGATACCTACTTTAAGTAGCAGGCCAGACACAGCGCTAGGCATATATAGTAATAATTCATTTACTCTTTATGGCAATACTTTGCTGTTAGAAATATTCTACAGTAACTGTGCAGGATTAGAAGATAAGTGATGGTACTAGAATTTAAACCAGATTTATCTCAAATGTGAACTTTTAAAGTTCTATGAACACCTACAAACAACATGGCTCAGATAATACAGCCAGGAAAAGACAGGGTTGAGACGGAACATGGTCTCTGCACCTCTGACTCAAGGCTGCTTCTCTGCGTTACCCCTGCCTACATATCTTATAGTGTCTCTCATTAAAATTTAACAGTAAGTATCTTACTGCCCCATGTGCCTTTACTTCTGTAGTAAGGCAATATTCATAAACTTCTGAATAATTTTAATTCATATTGGTGGCTACAAGTCATTTTTCATTGAAATACTAATAATAAAATTCAATAAAAGCTAATCAAATCACCAAAAATACTGAATTTAAAGTAAAAAAACCCTCACGATCCTTAATACATTAAATCAAGTAAAAATAAAGAAAAACTAAATGCATTTAACAAAACAAGACATCTAGTAATATCCAAAATAATGACTAACATTATGTGTCTACTGCACGCTAGCCCAGCGCTCGGTGCTGTGTGTATATAACCCATTTAACTGCTGTAATTCTCTACTATGGTTAGCCTTATTTTATAGAGAAGGACACTAACGAACAAAGAGATAAATTCCCCAGGACTGCCATAATCATAGCTAACAAGAGGCTAGGAACTGAGCCATTCACTCTATTTCCACACCCTCATGTTCTTAACCCCTCCCCATGAAACTGCTGCTATCCAGAAATATATCTTTTTACTTATTTGTTTTACACAATAGAAGTGTCTAAAAATATTCTGATAATTTAATAAAAGTCTGAAATAATATATCTGACTAGAGCAGTGCTTCCTAAATTTTGGTGTGCATACCAGTCTCCTGAGGATCTTGCTGAAACACAGTTCTAATTCAGTAAAGCTGGATGAGGCCTGGGATTCTGCATTCCTACTCCACAGATGATATCAGCAGTGCAGCTCCGTGGACCTCTCCCCTAATAGCACAGTTCTGGAGTACATTTTTTTACTTCTATCAAAATCTTTCTCAATAGTCATCACCACTTCTCACTGTTCTGCTCTTGCAGCCCATTAGAAATCAGAGACCTGCTCTTATTAAATTACCAGAATATTAATTTGAGTCTATGCTATATTTAACTGCTGTTTAGTACATATTACCTTGATTTCATGCTTGCTTTCATTTCCAACCAATTCTGCTGTTTACTGAGAATAGCCATGCTCCTACATTGTTCTATATATTTTATTTCATTAGAAAAATGCTCCCATTACTACAAATGCTGCGCACACCTCCCCCAAGCCTAGACAGTTGCCCCATGCACCAGGACCGTTTACTGGAACCACAACTGCTGCTCTGGACACTACTTCAAACTAGATGATCCACATCTTTAGTCTATTAAAGCTGTGGACAACCTCCTCAGACGGACACCCAGGGCCTAATTTACTATTTTTTTATTTTCATAAGCAACGCATAAAATATGAGACCGTTCATTTCCCCTCCCTGTGGCCTTGTTTCTAAACCAGCTATCTACCTCTCTGCTTCCCACACTTCTACACTGTTCCACCCATAATAACACTTGGGTACTGCCCGTCTCCTCAAGATCATCTTTACTCTCAAGCTGCTCAAGGTCAGATGGTAGGGTTTTTGTCCTCTTGCTTTCCATACAACATTCAAATCATTGCCCCACATATATATCTCTTCTACTCTCTCCCACCTCTGACTAGTCAGATTTGCCATCCCCTGTCTCTTACATTTTCACTTATCAATCTCCTGGATGCTCCTCTGCATTCCTTTTAAACAGTTTACCTCGGGCTGGGGATTTAGCTCAGCGGCAAAAGCGCCTGCCTGGCAAGCGCAAGGTCGTGAGTTCAGTTCCCGGTACCGGAGAAAAACAAAGACAAAAAAAACAAACAAATAAACAGTTTACCTCCCCAACTTTGCTCTTGCCATTATACGGAGTACCATGAAAGTCTGCACGTATACACTACCTAACCAACCTGAGCAGTCAATCCCTAACTTGTACTAAGCTTCTCCACTCCCTATCAGTCAGCGCCCTGGACCTTGCCTCACTGGAAATGCTTCATCTTCCAAATTACTAATTTTAACATTAATGCTGACCATTAACGCGGCCACACCAAATGACCACACTCTACTATCTATCCTTCCAGCTTGCTTTTCTGACCACTTACTCACAACTATGCTTTGATCTCATCACTACCTCCACTCCATTGGTCCCGTTCAGTCTCTGCATTTACTAGCTTCCCATCTTCACTTTCTTTCTCATCCAATTTAGATATCCAGGGTTTCATTTGGTGCTAGTACAGTGTCTTTGGTGCTTAGCAAGTACTGACTAAATAAACGAATCCCTAAGTTGTAATATCCAATCAACCGCTAATTCTTGTTAAGCATTCCTTTTCTTTTTTTTTTTTTTTTTTTTTTTTTTTTTTTTTCCAGTACTGGGAATCGAACTCACGACCTTGCACTTGCCAGGCAGGCGCTGTGCCGCTGAGCTAAATCCCCAGCCTCTGTTAAGCACTTCTTTCCATACCTGCAGCCACTGAGAAACCACTGGTCTTTCTCATACTAGCGTGATAACTAAATTCTCCAAACCATTTTCTGACATCTACTTTCAAATTAGATATCTAATCACTCCCTTTCCTATTTAAAATCCTTCAATCATGTCCCATTGCTGTTAGACTAAGAATAAAATTCACAATACAGCCGAAAGAGTACTGTGACCTTGTCCTCACCTAATTCTTCAATCCAGTCTCCCAATGTTCTGCCCATTGCACTCTGCCTTTCAGCCACCCACATTAACTTCCAGTTCTAATACAGCATGCTCCTTTCCATCCAATTTCATTTAGATAACTTATATTTACTCTTCCTATTTCAGTCCAAATGTCACTTCCCCAGGAATCCATCACTAACTCTTAAGCCTCCTGCTGTACTACTCTGTTCTTTTTCTCTGAAACACTTACTACAGTTTATAATATTTGTGATCATATCTGCTTCTGCACTTAATTATAAGCTCCATGGGGATAGAGACTAAGTCTATACTCATCAGTGACTTCTCAGAACTGTCCAATAAGAAGTTGTGCCCATAAACTCTTGTTAAGTCTTCCTCCTGCATCAGTGGTTCTCAACCTAGTCTGTGAAGCTTTTTTAAAAATATGCATGTCTGCCCTGTACTTCTGAAGATTATGATTCGGTCCGTCTGTGGTATATACTGGACTGAAACATTTTTCACAGGCCCCATACATGACTCTGCTGCACAGCCAGACCTACTGTGTTGATCTACTGTCCCACAAAATCATATAGTATTAGAAATAAAGAGATTTGTGAAATCACCTGCCCCAGGACTATTTCAGAAATGAAGAAATTGATTCACACCCTGTTTTCCTTTATGATATACGTAACTGTATATCATAACTACCTATGCATATCATAACATACCTGAACTGTTCTTTCATACAGATTTTCCCTTTTAAGTCTTCCCACTAATTTCTTACTTTATATGACAAACTGAAGCCCTTTCAATGATACCCTAAATGTCTTAATCCCAATAGAAAATGCATTAGTATGTTTACAGTTAACATTAACATTTGAAAACAGTGCTCAATTATAACCTATATTGTAAATAAACAACTACTTTTTCCACATTTAATTCAAATTTCAAAATCCTGCCCTCGGTTATTCCAAGAAAAATCACCCCTAACGGGTAAAAATTGTTTTACTTTACATACTCAAAAATGTGAAACTAAATTTACTTGATAAAAATCAAGATTACAGCAAATTTCATTTTCTAAAACACTGTAATACGAAGCAGAAGTCCAAGAAACGAAAGGAGGAGGAGAGCAATCTTTTTCTTTTGCATAAACAATTTACAAAATTCCATCTTGAGAGCACAAACTGGAGCCTAAACACTTCAACATATCTTAACTTCTTGTGGCGGTTACTCCTTTCACCAAATCAACCGAGAATTTCCAAGGGATTTCACAGAAGCAATCCCCCTGAAAGCATCCCTGGCTCAGTTCTTTCACTAACATTAGGGACCTACGAAGAGCGAGGCACTGCAACACTGTCACTAGGAAGAAGGTGTCACCACAGTGCTCCTAAGAAATGTCCACAAGAGTAGCAAACGCACTTTCTGAAAGGAAAAAAAACGGAGAGGGCCTTCAAAGTTCACAGTAGTGCTGCAAAAGCACCGCTTTCCCATAGGGAACTCTGGAGACAGCAGGGCGAACAATTCTGCAGATGGTGCCCAGCTCTTCAATCAACTTCGTTGTTCTGACTCTCAGCTATCTGGCTCAATGCTTACTTCCCTTTAAGGGGACTCTAGAGTGCTGCCGAGAAAAATATCAATGAACAAAACAAATAAGGCGCTGTTTTCCAGGAATGGGGGTGGGGAGTGAAAAAAAAAAAAAAAACGGCAGAAGTGAAGTTCAGGGGACCAATAAACGGGCAGGGCAAGATAATTTAGGATGGGGCAAGGGTTGTGGAGAAAAAGAGGATGGCGCTAAGGTGAGGATTATGTTGCCGCATCTATGAACACACCCCGCCCCATCGCAGTTCTCACAACACCTAACGCTCCGACTTGTCAACTGAAATAGGCAGTACGCTCTGTAGCTCCCGCGATTACGTAAACTAATAATCATCTGAAAAACTATCTTCTTATACCTAGTACGTAAATAAGCATCTGATGTGTAGATTCGCTGGGAACTAACACACTTTCCCCTATCAGCAGGAGTGATTCATCCCGACCCCGACTAAGCCGCAGGTTGTCCCCGCCACAGCTGGGGTCCAGTACCTCCCTCCCTCCCTGTCTCCCCGCCCGCCGCCCAGCGCGCACAGCACTGTGCGGAGATGAACAACCCCGCGGCGGGAGAGCCAGGACATCCCGCTGCAAGGCTCCAAACCCCGAGCGGCCCGCGCGCGGCTCTCCGCCCGCCCACCCGCAGCCGCTCTTCTCCCGCCCCGCTTAACTCCGTCGGCGCCAGAAGGAACCAGGCCGAGGAGCTGGAGGCCTGCGCGGGCCGCCCAGCACCCCCGGAGGCCCGGCCGGAGGCGGCTGCCGCAGCGTGACGGCGAACACGCCAGGTTCTCCACGGAAAGGGTCCCCAGGAAGCCTCACCCCAGCGCCTCCAGTGTGTCCAGCACGTCCCCTTCCATGGTAGCGTCGGGGCCGGGCTCTGGCCCTCGCATGGTCCTTTGGCCCGAAGCTGTTCAGCGCTCTAAAGAGCCCGCCGGAAACCAGTGTCACCACTTCACGGTTCCGGGTGGAGCATCCATGCCGACAGCCCAAGGGTGCCGTTTGATGGAGACACCGGAGTTCCTGGCACAGGGGCGATCTATATTGATAAGAGCCTAAAACCGCTTTATGTAACAGCAGTAACTTTTTTTTTAGCAGTAACTTTTAAAATAATAAAAAATAGTGGTTTAAAAGCGATTTTGTGCTGCGTGTTAGAACTAATCTTACCAAATATCGTGATTCCCTGTTGATCTCAACCTATCAGGCTCCAGCCCTCTATTTTTATAAAAAAAAAAACAAAAACCCGGAAATGAAATTATAATTATCTTGAGCTAAAAAGTTGGTAATAGAGTGTACATACGAGTATAATTCTTAAATCAATACAGTAATGCTCCAGTCAATATAAAAAAGAGATAAAGGGGAGGTAATTTGTGAGTTGTGAGTGAAATATTTGGTGAATGTTTAAATAACAAATTGTATTAGGGGGGGCTGAGGATTTAGCTCAGCAGCACAGCACCTGCCTGGCAAGCGCAAGGTTGTGAGTTCGATTCCCGGTACCAGAAAAACAACAACAACAACAAAAAATGTATTATGGTAAAAGACATTGCCATTAATCATCCTCAAAATACTCCCTTCGCTCTAAACACACTTATCTCATCGTTCTTGCCACTTTCTGAAGCAGTTCTGGAAGTCTTCTTTCAAGTCTTTACCGAGTGTAATAGAAAATATGATGAACGCAGCTGCCAACTGCCACTCAGTGTCAAGGTAGGCTCCTAAAACAGGGCCATGTGTCTTCATTCACCGTAATCACTGCCCCTGGCACTGTGCGACTTCTGGCTCTTCTTCAAAATAAAAATAATCATGAAAGATAAAGGTTTTGAATCAATTCAGGACACCAAGGCAGCTACAACAGCCCCACTAAAGACACTTACAAAGGAGGACTTGCAGAGCTGCTTCACAAAGTGGCAAGTGACCACCTACCTCCTTTAACAGGCCCCCATCTCCTGAAGCACATTGAACTATGGGCTCATCAGGGAGCTAATCCACTGATGATTATGGCTTCCCCTACATGTTCTAATCACCTTCTGAGAATCCCACCTCTCAACACAATCAGGGATATTTGAGGGATATTTTACAACTAAACCATAATAGGGTTCATATGTAAAAGGACATCAGGGAATTGGGTCAGATCATTATCAGCAGATATATCACTTAAATGACTGTCTCAGTAAGATGAATGAATGTCATACGAGATATAACTATCTTCCTTAGCACAGAATTTCCTCTGTATTGTGGGATATAAAGCATCCCTAGCCTCAGCCCAGTAAAAGTCAATAATGCTTTCACCTCCCAATCATTGTTACAAACAAAAAATTATCCATAAATTTGTTAAACACCCCAAGGACACTTGCTTATATGTTTCTATAATACCTGTTCACAATTTACTATATCTTAATATTCTGAAAAGCTTAAGTACAAAATGACTTTCAGTTTAATGAATCTGAATTCTTCTCAAACAAGACAGAGGAGAGTGAATGTTGTTGATTACTGCCTACATCAAAGTATCAGGTTAATAATATCCCTTAGTTATTGCGGGCTGATCAGGTCTGCAATCTCCTGAACGAGTGTATGGTGAAGGCTAAATAAGAAAAGGAAAATGGAATGATTTCAGAGCTCCAGGAGGATCAAAGCTCTCTCACAGAATTCGAGATTCTCTCAGGGTTAAAACCACAACCTTCTCTGGGTGGCCCATATTTATTTAGATATCAAAAGAAGGGAGGGGAATATTTAAGAAGGGTGGCACCACTCAAGGACTTCTCCAAGTAAAGTATTAAATTATTTCATCCAGGAGTGAGATACCTGAGGCCATAGTCTTTATCTGGTTGAGTTCGGATACAGGTGTCCTTGGCTGTGATTTTATTTTATCCTTTGAGGCTTTCTGCTTCATTGCCATTACAGGCATTAGTAGGGATTAGTGACTCACAGAGTTTCACTTATTATGAGTCCACCGCCCATGCCCATTGCCAGACAAGGAGCTTAGGCCTTGGACAGACTCACAAGTAAACATGGAAAGCCAGTTGGTTAATTTAAATCCTTCTCAGGGCTGCCTCATAGTGGTCTCCATCATCACAGATCAGGAGAACAGTAGAGGTAGTATTCTTAGTAATCTTAGAAAAAGAAAGTCTGCAAAAATCTAATGAGGTGACTGTTCTTCTTAGTTTTTACTTGGAGTATTCTGTTGCTGTTTTTCCTTAAAAATAAGTAAACAACAAAACTAAAGCACAGAAAAAAATCTTTTAAAAATCATGATAGATGTGGGAAAGCTGAAAAAGTTTCACATAACAAACTGACTGACTGAATGGAGACCACTGAGAAAAATGGAGCAGAAACAAGACAAGATTCTAGCCATGAATTTTCTAACAAAATAATCACTGAGTCAAGAGGTCTGCTAACCCCAAACAGGAATAATTTTTAAAAACCACAGTTTACAAAAACTTTGCAAAAGGCTGCAAACAAAAGACAAAGGGTAAATCTTAAAAGCTGCTTGAGCAAAAAATTAAAGTTCAACATTAATAACATAAACTGACTTCTCAAGGAAGAACAATGGAAGAAAACAATGGAATAACACCTTTATCATGCTTTAAATAACCCCAAATCTGGGATTTTATAAGTATAGGAAATATCCTGAAGAAATGAAGGCAAATAAAGGTGTTTTCAAACAAGAAAAACTGATACAAATTGTGTCCAGCGCTCTCACATTGAAAGAAAGAGTAGAGAAAGTTTAGGCAAGAAAAAAGCGCTGCTGGCTAAAAGCACAAGACTGCTGTGTAACAAGGAGTGAAGATACCACTGGAAAGCATACATGTGTGAATAAAATTAGATAAACATCAACTGCTCAAACAGCAATGTTATGCAAAAATTAAAATATAAAAGAATTGAGGGGTGGGAGTTTCTAAATAGAACTAAAGATCTACAAGGTTCTTCCATTGTCCAGGAAGTAGTAAAATAACTAATAGTAGATCAGGATTGCATGTTGTCATAATTAAGATAATCAGTAAAAGAATAATTGGTGACTATCCACTAGATGTGGAAAAGATGATTTATAAAGTTGACCTAATTTAGATACACAGATCACTACTCTCCAAAACTTGAAAATATTTTTTTCAAATGCACATGTCCTTTATAGAACTTGACCTTAAAACTTGATCGTAAAATAATTCTCTTCACATTCAAAGACTGAAATCATAGAGAACCTCTCTAGCTAAACTAGATATCACATAGAAAAGGAAAACAAATTTAAATCCCCATATATATGATGTCTGGACTTTAAACAATACATTTGTAAATAACTTGGCAACGAACTAGAAATTACAATGGAAACTAGAGAATGTTTTAATCAGAACAATAAAAAATACAAGGGGCACATGGGCACCTCAACCTGCAAGATGTTGTGCCCCAGTTGGTGACTTATCTGAGTCAAGAGTCCATCTCACAATTATGTGAGGACAGCTGCTTCTGATAAAGTTCATGGTAGGCAGTACCTGTAAATACCCTGATCCTGTACCCCCTGTCTGTCTTTTCCATAAATTAGATCGTATTTGAAAGCAACACTACCACTAATGAGACATCCTATGAACCCTCAACTGGTGGTGGTGGCATAGAAATTACAGGCAAAAGATTTAATACACGACACGTAATTTATAGGATTATTTCATAGGAATCAACCAAAAAGTCAAATGCAAAATAGTGCAGGAGATCTGACCACACACTAGAGACCCAAAGAATCCAGCTGAGGGCCTGGATCTCATGGTAATGTCAGGCACGAGTCCAGCTGAAGACCTAGAGCCCATAACAACGCCCCCTGTGAGTCCAGCTGGAGGCCTAGAGCCCACAACAATGTCTCATGCAGGCCTGTTTCATGGATCTGTGCTGGGAAGGCCCAAAGGTCAATGGTGTAAGCTAGAAAATCTGTGCCAGAGGGATGAAGGATCTGTGCTAATAGGCTGAGGGATCTGCATGGGAGCCAGGAAGTGACATTCAAGGTAAAGACCAAGCCCCCTCAAAGTCAACTGTATCCATTCTCAGTGACAACAAGGTCCCAAGCTCCTCTGACAATGAGAACACCTGAGTTCATCAGGAAAACCAGCATGACCAGCTCCTCCAGGAAAACTAACAGCTCCCTAACAGCTTCTAAACTTCTTCCTCTCCAGTTCTGCCTCTTATGCTGCTGGCAATAATCCTCAGGCAGGCCTCCCACACTCAGCACCACACTGGTTCAATTCAACTGGACGTTACAAGTTGCGCACCAGTTATCAATCTACTACACATAAAAATCATCAATATAGTGAAATAGTGACACAGATGGGACTTGGTCCAGGTAGCCAAGTCCTGGGCCACCATTCCATGACACAAAGTTGGGCTACGCAAATAACCTTGTGGCAATACCAGGAAGGTCCATTGCCTGCCCTCCCAGGTGAAAGTAAATTGGTCCTACCTGTCAGGAATGATAGCAGTGGAGAAGAAGGCATTCAGTTCCCAGTATTCCACAATCATTGATCACATCCTGAGTAGTTTCTGCATGGCCCATACCAGGGAATTGAAAAGGCTATATGCAGGGTGTTATCATGCTTGTTTCTTCCAACTAAAATTCTCATATACCACTGGCAGGAATATAAAATTGTACAATCACTTTGGAATACAGTACAATGTCTTCCTAAAATGCTGAACATACATTTTCCACTTCACCCTCCATTCTACCAATAGACATTAACCCAAGGCAATAGGAAGCATACATCTAAAAGACTTGCATGGTAATGTTCATAGCATTATTTGTAATTGTCACAAACTGGAAATTATTCAGTAAAAATAATGTCCATCAGCATGTAAATAGAATGAATAAATACGTTGTAGTACTTCCATACAGTAAAATATTACTCAGCAATAAAAGAAGTAAATCAATTTACACATAAGACAGTATGGATGACTTTTTAAATAA